CCCTGAGGGCCAAAGAACCCTCAGCGATTCAGCAAGGGCACAGAGAAAACCCTAAGCTGTGAACTCCAGTCAGGAGTTTGGTCTTTCATTTAACAAGGATGAGAATGCAATTCTTACTCTGGATAAGGCTCTAGAAAAGGGCAAAGCCCCTGAAGGAATAACTCAGTGAAAAGCACTGAGGTTGTGTGTGTGTGTGTGTGTGAGAAAAAGTTCCTCAAGTGATCATTTATCTAGTCAAAAAGCAATTCTCAGCAAACTCCCCAAACTTGGTATCATACAGATTATGGCTCATATAAAATCAAGATTAAAAAACAGGTAAAATGCATTTGTTGAACATTAAACACACATACGTACATATCCCAATAATCCCAATGTGTCCAGGTGGCACAATGGTTAAGTGGTGGCTATTAACCCACCAGCTGCTCCACGGGGCAATCGGCTTCTGTGACAGTGCCAGCCTTGGGAAGCTGGGGAGCAATTCTCTCTGCCCTAAGGGTCGCGGTGGGTCAGAGCTGACTCAGTGGTCCACAACAACAGCAAATGACACAGGGGAAAGAAGAGGGCAACAAATGAGCAGACAGCACTAACTGAGCAGTAGTAAGAACACCGGAGGACAGCAGGAGTGCAGCCCAGAGCCCACGACCCCGGAGCGCCTCCTTTCCCTAACGTGGGGCAACCGGTGGGGCTGTGGCTCTCAACCACCTTTCTCACACGGCTGAGTTCTAGCCGATGGAAGCAGCAGAGTAACTGGCTCAGAACAAAAGGCTCTACACCCAGGACTGGCTCCCACCAATCCCCACACATGACCCTTCACGACGGCCTCCCTTCCAGTGGGCTGAGTCCTGCTGAGCAGCAGGTCTCAACCTATAGGTCACGACCCCTTTGGGGGCCTAAACGACCCTTTCACGGGGTCACCTAAGACCACTGGAAAACGCGGATTTCCGATGGTCTTAGTAACCGAGACACCGCTCCTCTATCCATCTCCAGGCGGGTCCGCCCACACGCAGATACGCCCACCTACGAGTACCTGGCCTGAAGACTGTTACCCATGCTACCCCATGCTTCAAGACAACATTTCATTTATTTGTCATTAGAAATACCAATATACCACGATGCGGAGGCACCAGCTCTTCTTCCATTGGCCAGCTTTGCATGTTTTTGCCTGGGATGACTAATGACACCATGGGCTGAGT